ACAGTGCAGTGTGCAATTATTATGTTTGTTCACGAGTATGAGACGTCGGTATTGGTACAGCGGTAGTTTTTGCCGGCATTCACATGACAATCAATATCAAATGCTTTTTGTCATATGTTACATTGTCTAGTTAAGTAATGGACTGGCTGGGGACTTGGTCTTAGTAATATGACCTGATAAATGAAATGAGTGACTCTATTGCCAATAAAATTAACGACGAACTGTTTCACTTTTACAAGTCACGAAGATTTTCCAAAGAAGCAACTACATTTAGAGCATTTTCACACATAGCTTCTGAGACAAAATCCTTTTACATCCAGGTAGGTACTAAAAAATCATAGAAATGCATGTCTTTTTTTAAGGGGGGAAAATCTTTGAATGGCTTCTCCCGCCTAGGTGAGGCGGGAGGGAGTGTCAGACTCTTACTGACTAAAAACCACCCTGCTCCTACTCCTGCACTTCGAGACGGAGCCCCGGTTCTCCGCGGACAAATGCATGTCTAGAATGTATCCGATGTTTGGCTATAAGCACTGTATTGTTAGACTGATGAGATTATCTGCGTTATGTTTCGTCGTGTGAGTGAGGTTACCGGAGGCCCAATTACATACTCCATTCACCAATCTTCCCAATCCCCAAAAGTCCTCAAATTTCTAACACCTTTTTAGGCCGGCCGGTAACGCAGTTGTAACGCCTCTGGTGTTTCAGGTGTCCGTGGGCGGCGCCGATTGGCTACCATCAGGTGGTATGGCGTCTGCTATTACAGGCTCATCTCCATAAAAAAATATCGCTAGCTATTCCCTGTGATGGGTTATTACCTAAAATTATGAACCGGGCTTATGTATTTTATGTTACAAAATCAAATAAGTGTCATACTCTATTACATTGTATGTAAGTAATCAGTATTGAATAAGAATTCGACATAATCGTTCCATTTATAAAGGTAGTCATAAATATCGGCGTGCGATAGTCACAAAAACTAGAGGGCGTATAATGCGTATATACCACCATTGTACGAATGGATCATAAATATTGTGAACAATGTTTAAGTGTGTTGTGAACAAATACACCAGTACTCATGTAAAGATCTATGTAGGATTTAGGTATAGGTACAGTACTTGATGATATAAGTATTTTAAAACAAAAAATCACTTTTTATTCAGACCATAAGTGGTCAGTAGGGATACTGGTATTTTATAAGCTAATCTGATTTTAACGGCACTAGGCGATGTTAAAATATAAATTAAAAAACCGTTATTTTGCATGCGTAGAAGTTCTCCTGCTTTTGCTGAAATAAGTATAATTATGGATTGTGCTGTTTTGAACTCTGAACTGTAAGGTAACACAGCTGAGTAATTCGGAAACTTACAAGTTGGACATGACTAGTCCTGGGATTCGGTTTAAAGAAATTCTCAAAAGAACATAGAGGTGCACGTACATATGAAAAACTTAGGTACACACTACATCATACAAAAATACTTATCATTATGTTCGTTGGATCTGTTGAGTACATGATATATAATTATTATTGTTTAGCCAGATACAACTTCAACAAATTTTATACATGTTAATTGGGTACTTGCCAACTAGTCAAATTTAATAACCCCTATACTTATTATACTCTTCGAATTTAATACTTTTTCGAACTGTCATAAATGGCAGTTTTCTATGAATTTTTTACGATATTGTGTATTGTGACTTCACGGTTTTTAGCGTCAAACAGCATACTTATTTCTTAAAAATTTGCTGAAAAAAATACTAAAACCAATTTGGTTACAAAATCCATTAATAAACGTGTGATTATTTTTTTATATTATTTTTTATTGAACTGTCGAAATAATTTATTTTTGATTAAGGAAAGTACCCAATTGATTACGATAACTAATTAGCGCGGGACGAACCTGAATAAGTATAAACAAATACTACCACACCATCTATAATACTATCAGTTCACTCTCTTACCGGCTGTCATTTATTTCCGCAATGTTTTTGGGGTAGGGTTAAAGGTAGCTGTGCGTAGCTGTTGGTGGTTCATTCGCTGAGTGTGGTCCATAGTACAGTGGTGTACCTACACGTGTGTGGAGACATTTGTTTTGTTCTACCAGTGTATAACAAACTTTATGCCTATCTGTTAAAGTTCAGTGTTAGTGTGTGTTGAACTTAATATGTGGAGCTTGGTGATGTTTTGTGAGTATTATTTTGTTGTTTTTTTTTTGTTGACAGATGAACGAATGCTAAGTATTTTTTTTTTTATTTTATGGTGAATTGCCTATGCATACTTTTTTGTCATCATACGTCATACACTAGCAACGAGCTACCGTTTAATACAATAAAAGACTGTGCGGTTGGTGCGGTGGCTGGACAACCGGCTGCTGTGCAACGTGTCGCGGGTTCGATTTAGAGGTAGATTCAAAAGTGTTGTTTCCGATCTAAGTGTCATGTGTATGTGAACTCGTATGTTTGTAAACGCATCCATAGCACAGGAGAAAATTCTAGTGTTGGGGCAACGTTTAATTTCAAGAATAAATAAATAAAAGGTATATTATTTTGCCTTTTTTTGATAATCATAGAAGTAACTGTAACTATCTAATTACCTCCTAGTCCTAAGACGAGTCATTGTTTGTATGCCTTCGTCACTTGATTAGAGTTTATTTTAATTTTGTCGTTGCATTTAGATCTTTCTAATATCAATCTAAAGAAAAGTCAGAATTAAACCACAATTTGTATATTTACCTTTAGTAAAGGATAAAGCCAGTAATATACTGAGCAAAAATACATAAACATTAAATAAATAAATATACACAATCATAATAAAAAAAAAATTATAAAACACCGTATAAAATTATCAAAATGTAAAAATACAACAATATAAAACTGAAACCAACATTGATTTGAATATTGAAACCCTTTATAGATTTTCCACGAGGTACCGTCAGCCAAGTAAATTGGTATAAACAAAAGAAAATATAGATTTATTTAATACAGAGAAAGTAACTATTGGTTGGCTACTGACCCGGCCAATAATTAGACAATATGTAGCTTCGTTAGAACCCTTACAACTTCGTACAACAGTAGCTACTGTCTCTATATTAAATTGATCTTCATTTTCGTCCACTATATTTAATTATGTCCACCTGTATTTAATTATGTTCTCATCGCTTAGCTATATTTCTCGTTTCTTCCAAAGTTGAGGGCAATTCTGTATTCTTTGTCTCAGGTAAAAACAAACACAAGAATCCTCCAATAATAGCCATAGCTCCAAATGTAGCTCCCGAAATCGTTTGAGGTAATGAATTAATGGGCGGCGCAGCTATCTGACCAACCCTTGACATCACTGATAGAAAACCTAACACGGAGTTTCTAATAGTGGTCGGGAACAATTCGACTCCGTATAAAAATACAATTATGAAGGACATAAAGAAAACACTACATCCAATACATGCCACCAGTACTCTCGCTAAATGTGCGTGTTCTGGAATAAGAATGACCGCTATCATAAGTGTCCCTGATAAGAAACAAGTCGTCATTAGGAAAGATCTTCGTCCAAATTTGTGTAGCGAATATGCAGCAATGCATGTGCCTGGTATGAGAAGCGCTCCTGACATGGCCACATTTGAATGAATGTCCCCACTCATCTGGCCTATGTACTGCGATACTCCGTAGTATCCCATTCCACATGTAAAGTATATAAAGGCCATACAGCACAGGTTAATGGTCAGTCGTCGGTAGCGGAAAATATGCCAAAAACTTACTTTTTGTAATTTCAGTGCAGTTTGTTGAGATGCATATTGTTGCAAGTCACTTTTGATATTGCCCGCGGGGACATTATTGCTGGAAGATAACAATCGCATTATTTATTACTAGCTTTTACCCGCGGCTTTGCTCGCGTCACAAAAGCCTAAAAAGTCGCGGGGACATTATTGCTGGAAGATAACAATCGCATTATTTATTACTAGCTTTTACCCGCGGCTTTGCTCGCGTCACAAAAGCCTAAAAAGTTGCCTATGTGACATATACCAATACACACAGCGCCATCTATACCAATACTTTTGTTTGCCCTCGGAAATATCACATTTTTTCGGGATAAAAAGTACCCTATTATTTAATCCGGACTTCTAACTTTACGTTTGTAAAAATTCAAAGCAATCGGTTTAGTAATTACGGCGTGAAATCGGAACAAACAAACTCACTTTTCGATTTATAATATTAGTAAGGATTGTTATACATGAAAGTAATTTTAAAATGAAATAAAATATTTACGATCCCAATGATACCCAATAGAAATTTAAATACCTAATGCAACTAAAACAGTATATATTTTTACAATCGATTAAGTTTCTGGTTGTATTGTCTATTTTCTTTTTCTTTTTTAATTTGTTTATAGTGTACTTAACTGCCCCCGGTTGTTTAAAAAATTATGTGGTGAAATCCAAATGTTGTCTGGAAAAAATCACCTTTATGTGATATGACCACTCATTGTGCATCTTGACTATATGTATACAATAAATAAAATTACTTTTCCTTGGGCTTTTATAGACCGCTTACCACCACTTTAAGTAAAGTAATAAATAAAACATTTTCGACAATTTGTTTACAGCAGAAACTCTCAAGCCCCCTCAAGTATTAGTATTGCACAATTGTTGTAAATGTTTAATTTTGGAGCTTATTATGAAATAATATATAATACTCACTATTTCGCAATCTTTTCCATGATTGCCGTTGCTTCATTCAGTCTATTATTATCAAGTAACCACTTTGGGGATTCATTGGCTAAACAATATAAGAGTAACGTAGCGAACACTGGCACTGATATGACCAATTGGAAGTCATCGCTATTTCTTACAAGGTACGATACGCCTGCCAGACTCATGTGGCTGACGTTAAGAGGGATGTGGAATAGAGCAGTCACCGCTTCTCTGTAACTGACCCCACAGTATTCCACCAAGAGGACATAGCTAGTGACGATGGCTCCTCCAACGCCTATACCTTCAATGCATCGTAAGATGATAAAGGGAATAGGCGAGGGCATGAAGGCAACCAGACATCCAGCGACACCGACAGTAAGGCAACTCAGTAAGAACGAAGAGAGGCGCCCGTAACTGTAATATGAATAAAATAAATTATTTATCAGTATTGCTCTCCAGAGTCACTATATTTTTTTAATGTTTCTGGAGCGCTCAAAGTGTACAATACTGATAGTGCAAACTTTTAACACTTGAGGTTAAAGACACCCGCTTCTTATGTATCAAGTGTGGAAGAGCCATGCTTCGGCATAAATGGTCCGGCTCGACCGGAGTGACCACGGCCTCAAAGAAAACTGTCGTGAATCAACGCTTTCGTTGTATTTCATTGAGTGTGGTTAAGGAGCCTCCCCCCCCTTCCCTTCCCCAATCCTTGAATCTCCAACCATCCTCAAATTCCTAATCCTCAAGAGGCCAGTAACGCACTTGTAACGCATCTGGTGTTCCAGGTGTTTATGAGCGACGCTGATTACTGATGGTATCAGGCGATACGTCTGCTCGTTTGCCGGCTTATCCCATGGCCCACTGGCCAAAAGGCCTCTTCTTTAGGCTGTTCATATGTTGATGTAAAGTAATTAACAAAGACAAATGGTGCAAATTTATGGTAAGAGAAAATATTTACTTGTCCGACATGAATCCGAATGAGAATGCTCCTATCAGGGTCCCGACATACAGCATACTTTGTGTGAAGCTGACCATCCATTTATTATCGCAGTAGATATTATATTTAGTTTGCACTGTTTGAGTGAAAACAGAATGATTCCATATTGGTTTCGCACAGGGGCATGGGTTGGTTTCATTTTTACCCTCGCAGGTGTAGGTCATAGGTGGAGTTGTGAATAGTAAACTGAGTACATGCCAGAACACTGGCACCTTCGTCAGAAAAAGAAGAGTAAAAAAGTATAAATGATACTTAGTTATTTTATGAAAATGTTTTTCTACAGGATGTTTTGATTCTATTGCCATCTTTTGTCTGATATGCTTTCGGTTTCGATTCAATCCTGTTGGTCCAGTTCGTTATTTCATTTGTGTCAAAATATATTGTGACATTATTAGTCATCATTCTTCTATAAACAAACTTAAGAACTTTTATGTTGAAGTCAAAGAAGTATTTATAACTTAATTTGTACAATTTTCTCATTTTCTCTACAAAATTCAACAAGGCAATGTCTTATCAGGACAATTAGTTAACTATTTCTTATATTACCTATATATATAAAAGGCTTGCTCTTAAACTGAAAATCTAGAAATCACGCTGGAGCCCAAACGACACATCGAAAAAATTTGAAACTTTGAAGGCCAAAAGTGGGGTCAAAGTTTGTATAGAAGAAATTTATTTATTGGTGCGATCTGTTTTAAATTGTGCATGATCATTTTTTAATAAATTTTAATGAAGATACGATTCATATTTATGAAAATTCAATGTCTAACAGAGTCAAAAAGGAGTAGACAGATTTAAAAAAAAAATAATTTAAATCCTCCTTAGAATTCTGTTTGGTGTCAAATTACATTAAATTATTGATGTTCTATTTAAAAGTTCGAACGTGAATGTGACAGTGACAGCCATAATTATTTACTTTTTACAATGAGGCGGCAAAGCGATCTTTTATTCATCCAATACTATCCTTAAGCAAAAACAAAGTTTTTCGACTGTTCAATAAAATAAAATATTAAAAAATTCTAAAAACTGGATGTCGCATTGTACCTCTGTTTGTACACTGTACACTTTGATTAGCCGTGATGTTAATTAATATACCTATACTATCACTTTTTTTTAAACGTTGCCCTACACTAGAATTTTCTCCTATGTCGTGGGTGCGTTTACAAACATACAATTTCACATACACACACCCAGAACTGAAACAACAATTTGTGGATCACACAAAGTGTTGTTCCGTGCGGGAATCGAACTCGCGACACGTTGCACAGCAGCCGGTTGCCCAGCCACCACACCAACCGTGCAGTCAGTATATACTTTAATACTTTTTTTTACGCGGTGGTAATTCTCAAGTAAATCCCACGCCGTGGGGACGACGGGGTGTGCCGGACTCTTACCGGCTAAAACCACCGCGGTGTTCCTTCTCTGCCTGTGGCCGTAACCCAGGACGCCCTTGTGAATTCACCGCACCCGGCAGGCCTCGACCTACCACTATATTGCCCACCACGGAGCAGCCATCAAAAACCGATTTTTGTCCTCGAGTGGCGCGTGTGGAAGGCAACGCTAAAGCCTACTTCCGCCCATACAGCGGACGACTGACTCCTCTAATCAGTCGCCCGCAATCACTTTAATACTTAACCCAACCCAGGATGACCTTTGATTAGCAATTGCAATTGCAAACAACGAAACAGTTTCAATACAAAAGCGATATTTTTTCTAAAACTTTGTCCCACACTATGATTTTCTCCTGTGTCGTGGGTGCGTTTACAAACATACCTCTACAAGTTAACATACACAATGACATCCAGACCCGAAACAACAATTTGTGGATCACACAAAGAATTGCTCCGTTTAGCTATCGAGCCCGCTGCACGTTGCGCGGCAGCCAGTTACCTAGCCACCGCTCCAACCACGCCATTAATGAATAAACAACATAACCGTCTCAATGTAAATAAATCAAATAAATTGTATAGCTGGTAAGATTTAATTTAAAACTTGGTTGTACTGAAGCTACTTCTTACAAGTTAATATTTATTGTAGACCATCCCGAGGCGTGTGTAATGCCACAAGTATGGTAATTCAGTCCTTCATAATGCTGGAATTAGTTTCATTATAATCTTAATAAATTATTGTGAAGTAACATGAGAAATGTTATTATAAAACAGACCGTTTTATAATAACTATCGTGGGCATACTAAACTTACTAAAAATCGCGGGTTACTCACATAGGCTATGTGACATCGCCGCGACCGCACATGCTGCTCATGAGAAAGAGCCCCTCTGTGGCTCGAAACTAGTAGAGCTTTTGTTTCGGTATTTTCACATGAGTAACCCGCAATTTTCAGTTAAATGGTCTTATTAAATTGCCTTTACCATTGTAATTAAATTATATTTATCATTGAGTAATTTTATGTACCTACTTACCTAATGCTCACGAGTAAGTCTACAGAGCTGAAGGTGTAATTTTTTTGCTGTTTAAGAATACTTCAAAATGTTAGATTTGCAAAAAATGATATCTCTATATGATTCAGGAATTAAGCCTGATTTATAGCTGGAGGTAAGCCCACTTTTATGTAGGATTATAAGTGGCGAAAAGCGGATGCAACTTTCAATTTGTGGATCTTCTATCCTACTTAATAGAATAAAAGACATGCTGTATTTGTACGAAAGATTTGTACAGAATAAAAAATAAAACTAAGTGTTAGCAATAGAAAGCTGAACTTTACACCCACTTAAACAAGCTCTGTCGAGACTAACCATTATAATACTTTATAGTATAACTTATTTATGGCGTAGAAAATTGATTTCGTTTACAGCCAGCATATCAAAGTACCCGAAAAGACCAATTACTTTAACAATAATAGACCTTGTTCCAATAACAATGAGTTCAAAATCAATTAAAGGCATTTTGTTCTTAGATGTACACGTGTACTACCCACATAGGCAAGCCATATTGTGCCTTCGAAAATGCCATAAAATTTCATGATAAAACTGGAACTTGTCATTATATAACTGTGGTCGTTAATAAATGGTCATTTATTGGACACTGCGTTTTAGAAATTCCAATCTGAGTTCACAATATGTCACCGGGTTATATAACAAACCTTTGCAATTCATGATCAGATGACTCACGATTGGAAATATGCATCAATATACATAAACTATATACATAGGTATGTCGATTGTTTATTGATTGTAGAAATGGTTTGCTTCCGTGGGAACTGACATCCGAAATATTTCTATTAAGCTTAATAGTAAAATGTTTAGTAAATACTTACTCAAAATCCAATTTTAAACAGTAATACAGTGTAGTGAACAATATTTTATTTTAACAAGAAACATCTATGGAAAAACATCCCATAATCATTATAAGTAGCCACTATAATGCTCTAAGTAGGTAAAATAATTTGGTATAATAAATACCCAATTCTTATCTGTAAATTGAGTTCGCATGTCAGGCCGTGGGGTTCCGTAGCAATTAATTCTCGCAGCACGTGGTATCACTATGCAGAGAATATACGAAGATCCATTCTGGGTTAACAGATTTGTTTATCACTATCTATACCACGTCACGCCACACACCACAGCCTCACAGAAATCCTACGTGAAACACAGTTTGCTTTATTTTTTCACCGTATGATTGGACACTCCATAGACTTGGGCGGCATTGCCCATTGCTTATCGTCTGGTAATCCGTCTATTCGTGTACCTCCCAAACCTATTACAACTGTCGCGGAGAACCTAACGGGTTACCGGAGCTCCGGCTCGACGTGCAGGAGACGGAACGGGTGGTTTGTAAGAGTCTGACACTCCCTCTCGCCTCACCCAGGCGGGAGCAGTCATTTGACGATTTTTCCCCCTTAAAAAAATAAATAAAACCTATTACAACTAGTTACTTTACTATTGCCCATTGATTCATTGACATTGATCAAAAATGGAATCGCTACTGAGCCTTTGTCTACACATCTTCATTGCTAAACCAAATCTAGTAGGAAAAGCATCAGAAAAAAACTAAATCTTTATCGACTGAACATTAAGAACAGTTTTCTTTAGGCAACTGATTGAACCAATAAATTATAATTCTTATGCCCGAATACTAAAACGTTACTCAATTTTAAATCGTGCGTAAATATCGTGCCATCTCTGTCATATCACAAAGAATTTGTGATATGACAGAGATGGCACGAGACAGAACTATACTTAAGCACGACTTAAAATTGAGTAGCGGTTCAGAATTCCGGTATTATTTATTCTTTAATGTACGTAATTTGTTTATGGCACATAAGGTGAACTTAATGCCAAATGGCATTCTCTACCAGTCAACCTTAGGGTTTAAGTAGAAAATCTGCGAAAACTGAGGTACGGAGAATAAACTAACAACAAAGAGAGAGAGA